GCAGCCAGGGGTGAGACTCACCAGAACCTCTGTGCCGTTCAGTTTCTTCACGTGTAAGATGTGAAAAGTCCCAGAGCCTCTGTCACAAGGCCCTTCCTAGGAAGGGGGTTAGGGGAATTGCCCAGGCTGTGCCTGGTCCAGCGCTCTGCACAAAGAAATGCTCAACAAACATCACCGTGAGCTCCTTCGGTGGTCAGGGACCTTCCTACTCCACTGGACCCAGAAGCACTGGGCACCACACTCTCTGTTCCTTGTTTAGTTTTAGTTTTTCTTTCTTTTTTCTTTTTCTTTTCTTCCTTTTTTTTTTTTTTTTTTTTGAGACGGAGTCTTGCTCTGTCGCCCAGGCTGGAGTGCAGTGGCCGGATCTCAGCTCACTGCAAGCTCCGCCTCCCGGGTTTACGCCATTCTCCTGCCTCAGCCTCCCGAGTAGCTGGGACTACAGGCGCCCGCCATCTCACCCGGCTAGTTTATTTTGTATTTTTTAGTAGAGATGGGGTTTCACCGTGTTAGCCAGGATGGTCTCGATCTCCTGACCTCGTGATCCGCCCGTCTCGGCCTCCCAAAGTGCTGGGATTACAGGCTTGAGCCACCGCGCCCGGCCTTTTTTTTTTTGTAAAAAGAGCCCCGCGTTCCCCCGGCTGGAGTGCAGTGGTGGCATCTTGGTTCCCTGCAACCTCCGCCCCCTAGGTTCATGAGATTCTCCTGCCTCAGCCTCCCAAGTAGCTTCCTTCTCTCTTCCCCCCTCCCCTCCCCTCCCCTCTCCTCCCCTCCCCTCTCCTCTCCTTTCCTTTCCTTTCCTTTCTTCTTTTTGAGACAGAGTCTCGCTCTGTCACCTTCTCTTTCCTTCTTTCCCTTCTTTCCCTCCCTCCCTCCTTTCTTTCCCTCCCTCCCTCACTTTCCTCCTCCTCCTTCCTTCCTTTCTTTCTTTCCCTTTCTTCCCTTCCTTCCCTTTCCTTTCCTTTCCTTCTTCCCTCCCTCCCTCCCTCCCTTCCTTCTCTCTTCCCCCCTCCCCTCCCCTCCCCTTCCACCTCCCCTCCCCTCTCCTCTCCTTTCCTTTCCTTTCTTCTTTTTGAGACAGAGTCTCGCTCTGTCACCCAGGCTGGAGTGCAGTGGCGTGATCTCGGCTCGCTGCAACCTCTGCCTCCTAGGTTCATGAGATTCTCCTGCCTCAGCCTCCCAAGTAGCTGGGACCACAGACGCGTGCTACTATGCCTGGCTGATTTTTGTATTTTTAGTACAGACAGGGTTTCACCATGCTGGCCAAGCTAGTCTTGAACTCCTAACCTCAGGTGATCTGCCTGCCTCAGCCTCCCAAAGTGCTGACATTACAGACATGAGCCACCGTGCCTGGCCTCAAACCGTGCCTTTCTTATAGAAAGTCACAAAGAAACAAGAAGCCCCTGCAGTAATAACTATTCACTGCAACCACCATCAGCCACCTCCAAAACTGTAGCCTGTAGCTACCAAGTCTGGCTAATTTTGTGTTTTTAGTAGAGATGGGGTTTCTCCATGTTAGTCAGGCTGGTCTCGAACTCCTGACCTCAGGTGATCCGCCCACCTTGGCCTCCCAAAGTGCTGGGATTACAGGCATGAGTCACAGCGCCCGACCTGCTCTGTCCCTATTAAACACTCACTTCCTACTCCTCCCTCCTCCAGCCCCTGGCACCCACCTACTCCTCCCTCCTCCAGCCTGGCACCTCCTCCAGCCCTGGCACCCTACTCCTCCCTCCTCAGCCCCTGGCACCACCTCTCCTCCCTCCTCCAGCCCTGGTCCTCCAGCCCCTGGCACCCACCTACTCCTCCCTCCTCCAGCCCCTGGTACCCTCCTCCAGCCCCTGGCACCCTCCTCCAGCCCCGGGCACCCTCCTCCAGCCCCTGGCACCCACCATCCTACTACTTTCTGTTGCTAGGAATTTGACTCCTCTAGGGACCTCATATAAGTGGAAACATACAAATGCTTGTCTTTTGTGCCTGGCTCTCTCACTGAGCACACTGTCTTCAGCGTTCATCCGTGTTGTGACCTGTGCCAGAATTTCCTTCCTCTTCATGGCTGAATAATATTCCATTTGTGGAAGGATAACCACATTTTGTTGATCCTTCTATCCCTGGACGGACCCTCGGGCTGTTTCCGCCGTTTGGCCATTGTGAACAGTGCTGCTGTGAACATGGCTGTACAAATGTCTCTTCAAGACCTTGCTGTTGGCTGAGTGTGGTGGTTCACGCCTGTAATCCCAGCATTTTGGGAGGCTGAGGCGGCGGATCACCTGAGGTCAGGAGTTCAAGGCCAGTCTGGCCAACATGGTGAAAACCCGTCTCTACTAAAAATACAAAAAATTAGCTGGGCATGGTGATGCGTGCCTGCAATCCCAGCTACTCAGGAGGCTGAGGCATGAGAATCACTTGAACCCAGGAGGCGGAGGTTTCAGTGGGCCAAGATCACACCACTGCACTCCAGCCTGGGCAACGAGAGCAAAATTCCATCTGAAAAAAAAAAAAAACAAAAAAAAAAACAAGATCTTGCTGTCAGTTCCTTTGGGTATAGCCCCAGAAGTGGAACTGCTGGATCACATGACAATCTGAGGAAACTTGTCCAGTTTTGAAAAGGAATTAACTTTCACCAGTGTGAAAACCCGTCTCTACTAAAAATACAAAAAATTACTGGGCATGGTGATGCAGGCTCAATCCCAGCTACTCAGGAGGCTAAGAGGCATGAGAATCACTTGAACCTGTGAGGCGGAGGTGTCAGGGGCTAAGGACTGCACCACTCACCAGCACTGCAACGAGAGCAAAATCTCCATCTGAAAAAAAAAAACAAAAAAAACAAGATCTTGCTGTCAGTTCCTTTGGGTATAGCCCCAGAAGGGAACTGCTGATCACATGATAACTGGAGAAACTGGTTCAGCCTTTGAAAAAGGAATTAACTTTCAACAGTTTGATATTGATAATATTTTATGGCTGCATGGTTGTATTTACTTATTTTTGAGACGGAGTCTCACTCTGTAGCCCAGGCTGGAGTGCAGTGGCGCAATCTCCGCTCACTGCAGCCTCTGCCTCTGGGGTTCAAGCAATTCTCCTGCCTCAGCCTCCCCAGTAGCTGGGATTTCAGGTGCGTGCCACCATACCTGGCTAATTTTTGTATTTTTAGTAGAGACGGGGTCTCACCATGTTGGCCAGGCTGGTCTCCAACTCCTGACTTCAAGTGATCTGCCCGCCTCAGCCTCCCAAAGTGCTGGGATTACAGACGTGAGCCACCACGCCCGGCCAATATTGGTAATATTTTATAGGTATGTCACCAAACAGTTCCCCAGACGGCAGTGGCTGTAGGTAACACAAATAGTGAACACTGACTGAGCCCTTGCTGTGGGTGGCTTGCTAACTGCTGGCTTCCTCACAGCAACGCAGCAGGGTTGGTGCTAGTGTGACTCCCATTTGACAGATGAGACAGGGGCTGGGTAATTTGCTCAAGATCACACCCAGCTCACTGGGGTGGGTCTGGGATTCACACTCAGCTCTCTAGCTGCAGAACCCACACCTACACCCCACCCCACCACCCAGATGAGCTGCCTGACTGCAGCAGGTGTCTCCAGAACCTGTTCTTTATTTCAAGCATAGTAAGAAACGGAGATGTGTTCATGTCAAAGAATATGGAATAGGCCAGTTATTCCTGTCTTAAACATCCTATATCCTGCACATAGAACAGCGACCACAGGAGACGCTGCTGGACTGGCGGGAAGTGAACCCAGAGAGGGGGTGGGTAAGGGGAAAGGATGTGAGGCCCCATGATTCCAGACATCACTTTCAGATGGAGCTAGCACAAGCTACTGCATTTAGAAATTTATTACTTCCAGATGTGGCTGCATTACAGCTACAAGCACACCACAGCCCCAGGTCCCTCCCACCACCCCCAGCTTCGCTGCAACCAATGTAGAGCCCTGGAGGCCTGACTCTCTGAGTTCTCACGCCTCCAAATTCAGGCCGCCGGGGATGGGCGGGGCCGGGAGCTCTCAGCCCCATGGGCTGGCAGGCCTGGCGCCCCCTGCTGCACGTGGAGGACACGACGGGGGAGCTGGGCCAGCACGCACCAGGGCTCTGGGTACCTGAGGGTTCTTACCTCCCGATCTCAGTGACTCCCTGTGGGACTCCTGGGGAAAATACTTAGCACGTTTGGATGATAGGTTTATATCTGTCACTTGAAGCCCTAACTCTTCTTTTGGAGGATGGCCCCGTCTCTGTGAATGAACCAAACCACGGGCCTGGTGTCATCTGAGAGCCCCTCATCCCCACGCCCAGGCCCTTCCCTTTGCTGGTTCCTTCGCCACTCTGGCTCCAGGACCCTGTCCCTTCTCACCTGGGTAGCTCCCAGCAGGCCCTGCTGCCCGCCTCAGCCATCCCTATAGATCTCGGCAGCCCAAGCCCTCTGGGACCGCCCACTACTTCCAAGACTGAGTTCAGCAGAGCCTGGGCCTCTGCTCTATTCCTGCTGTTGTCAGTTCCCAGAACGTGCTGTGCCCACTCCCCAGCTGTCCCTCCTTCTGTCCCGCCCAGCCCTCCTGGGTCCCTGCTGTGCTGTGCCACCCCCCCCCCCCCCCCCCACTGCACTGTGATCCCTGCCCGTGGTCGACTGCATGAGGCAGAGGGGCCAGGATCAGGGACCCGAGGCCACCTGCTCTGAACCCCAGCCTTACAAAAGCCCTGCTGGAGACAGGTCCACTTCGATTACTCAGATGGAATTTGCTGTTCTCGTCCATCTCGTGGAATCTAGGTTGCGCCTCTCTTGAAGTCAGTTCCAAGTCCCAGCTGTGTCCCTGCCCCGCTCCCTTGGGCCTTGGGGTGGAGCGCTGCCGAGAACACTATCTGTCCAGCCCTGGGAGGGCCGTGCTTGTTGTTCTCCGAGTTCCTGTTTTCTCTGGCTCGGGGGGCTGGTGCTTACAGACACGCTGCTCCAGTTAAACTGTCTACAGCAGGCACGCATGGCTCCAAACCAGAACACAGAAACTTGGTCTCCTTGGAAAGCAGGAGTTTATTTTTACCCTTTTGTAAGTATTAACTGGGTAATCATGACAAACACGGAGCGATCTCAATGCTGTTGATCCGGAGGACAGTCTGCGGGGTCACCACGACTGAAAGGAAAGATGTCACAGGCTTGACCACAGACTCTGACTGTTGTCATCAGTCACTGCAGGGGCTCTGCACACAGCCCTCCCCAGCCAGCGCGGCCCTGGCAACGTCCCCTGCTGCACAGGGCCATGTTTATCGCCAGGTGTGCACTGACTGCCTCGCTAGCTTGTTCGTTCACTCTGTTGGCAGGTGCAGAGGCTGGACACCTCACCTCTCCTCCCACACTGTCTATGCTGTGACCTGTGGAGTGCGTGGAAGGATGGCCCCACCTGAGTGACCCTGAGGCTACCTGGAAGTGTCAGAAGGTACATGAGAGGCTCCCCCACCCAGCTGACTCTAAGGTGACAGCCAATACCAGTATTCTGGGTATATTTAACTACGCCCACTGTTGGTGGTTTAGGCTGGCAACTGCAGTAGTAACAAGAGCTGTGAGGGACAGACTTCTGTAGCTGCTCATCTGTGTGGCCCATGCCCTGTGGGTGCCATCCCTCAGGATGCCCATTGTGGGGGCTGTCCTCAGTGCAGGCTGCTGGGACAGCCCTAGGCCTGCTCGCAGATTCGCTGCTGCCTTGGAGGCAGGGCTAGGCGTCATGGGTTCACGCATGGAGGGTGGAGGAGCAGGGAAGTGAGGATGGGTCCTTTGGGTGCTCCCTCTAGGATGAGGGTGACAAGTGGGCAGTGGCAGCTGGATAGAGACCTGCCTGGGCTTCCTCTCCTGAGACCCAGGTGCCCCTACACCCTCCGTCTGCATGAGCCTGGGCAACCAGCACCGTGCAGCAGGGCCCAGCGATACTTTCTCTAACTTACTTCTTTTCTTCTTGAAGTTTCTCCTTTTCCTAAATCTCATAATGATTCTTGGCCATGATTCTGTCTTTTCAATGACTGTGGCTTCTACTCGAACAAGATCCTTTCTAGAAGGAAGAAAAATCAGTAATAATGCACCTTTTGGATTATTTTTCAAATACCTTAGCTGAGAATTTCTAAAATGAAGCTATACTTTCTCTTTTGTTGATTATAAAAGTAATATGCCCTCAATGGAAACATTTCGAAAACCATGAAAAAGAACCACAAAGAACAGTTCCGGGGAGTCTGAACAAATCTTAAGAGGACCACGCTATCATGGACTAGCCAGAGGCCAATCATTTGGCCTGGATGTTCTCATGGGCCTTAAATGGCCACTGTTATTAAGTATAAATGCTGTGTTTGGTGTCAACAGAGGAGATGAACGCAACCCCCCACGTGGCCTAATTGCACTGTGACCACTGTCTGCACGTCCAGCCCTGGAGCCCCAGACAAAGCCCAGCACCTCACAGCCATTACCCGAGGAGTGGCTTGCCAAGCAGCGTGAAGTTGTCTGCCCCAACCAGCAGGACCTGAAAAAATTCAACAGGTGTGTTTAATCAGTGGTTCATTACAATGAGTAAGAGAACAGTCGCTAATAACAGGTAGTGACGTGAACGCCACACAAAATGAGAAAGACTGAAAACGTTGTGATATGAATTTCATCTGCTGTCTGATCTCTTTAATATTCCACAACCGGGTTGTGAGCCGACAAGTGGCAGCACTGCACAGCCATGGGACTGCCTGAGGGACACGCTCCAACCCTCAGAGGCAGGAGACACACAGTTTGATGATTACATACCATGGATATGCATCCAGATAGCTGCTGCAACCCTCATATTAACGGTGACTTCAAAAACCCTTTCTATCGAAGCATAACACAGAGAGAAAAAGCACAAATCATACCATCGTATCTCTTGGCACACTTCACAGTTCTGCTAATCTTGCAATGATTTAGGCTCAACTGTATTCTTTTAATGACTGCAAAATTCTCAAGAGCCAGGCAACCATTCTCAATGCAGGGAAATCATGACACCAAGTGTGGCTGCAGATGAAGACATCTTTGCCTTCCAAATGCAACAGTGGGCTTTGTTTTTTGTTTTGAGACAGAGTCTTGCTCTGCTGCCCAGGCTGGAGGGCACCGGTGTGATCTTGGCTCACTGCAACCTCCGCCTCCCAGGTTCAAGCGATTCTCCTGCCTCAGCCCATTGAGTAGCTGGGACTACAGGTACCTGCCACCAAGCCTGGCTAATTTTTTTGGTATTTTTATTAGAGACAGGGTTTCACCATGTTGGCCAGGGTGGTCTCAAACTGACCTCAGGTGATCCACCCGCCTCGGCTTCCCAAAGTGCTGGATTTACAGGCGTGAGCCACCACGCCCGGCCTACAGTGTTTTTATTAGATGTTGGAGATCATCTTAAACTTTACTGATAAGAAAAAATCCAGTCATACTAAACTTACATGTCTAGAGACTAAGTATATCAAACAACAAACTCAGCAGACATGCATATTAGATAGAGACAAATAATAAAATAAGTATTTTTAGAGTTTGTTTCAGCATGGCATGCTCACTCTCACTGGATTTCCTGTTATAAAAGCAATCTGCTTAGCAGGGGCTTTCTAGAATTTTTTGTTAATGTGAAATGTTTCAAATATGCAAAGGTCAGGCCGGGGGCGGTGGCTCACACCTGTAATCCCAGCACTTTGGGAGGCCGAGGCAGGTGGATCATGAGGTCAGGAGATCGAGACCATCCCGGCTAACACGGTGAAACCGGTCTCTACTAAAAATACAAAAAAAATTAGCCTGGCATGGTGGCGGGCACCTGTAGTCCCAGCTACTCGGGGGGCTGAGGCAGGAGAATGGTGTGAACTCGGGAGGCGGAGCTTGCAGTGAGCCGAGATCGCATCACTGCACTCCAGCCTGGGAGACACAGCGAGACTCTGTCTCAAAAAAAAAAATAAATAAATAAATAAAAAAGCAAAGGTCTACCTCCAGAGGAGTTTAAATTCATAAAGAAAATCATGTATCTTATATTAATAACTAAGCATCCCAGAAAAATTACCTGTTGCAGAGGTAATTACAATTTTATAAAAAGAGTGTGCAGGCTGGGCACGGTGGCTCATGCGTGTAATCTCAGCATTTTGGGAGGCCGAGGCGGGCGGATCACCTGAGGTAGGGAGTTCAAGACCAGCCTGACCAACATGGAAAAACCCCATCTCTACTAAAAATACAAAATTAGCCGGGCGTGGTGGCACATGCCTGTAATCCCAGCTACTAGGGAGGCTGAGGCAGGAAAATTGCTTGAACTCGGGAGGCAGAGGTTGCGGTGAGCTGAGACCACGCCATTGCACTCCAGCCTAGACAAGAGAGAAACTCTTTTTCAAAAAAAAGAAAAGGAAAAAAAAAAAGAAAAAGAAAAGAGTAGGCAAAAACTAAATAGACGCTCCCAGCAAACAGAATTATAGCTGAAGGCTAGAAATGTCTAGCTAAATAAACAGACTAGCCAGGCGTGATGGCTCATGCCTATAATCCCAGCACTTTGGGAGCCTGAGGCAGGTGGATCACCTGAGGTCAGGAGTTCAAGACCAGTCTGACCAATATGGTGAAACCCCATCTCTACTAAAAATATAAAATTAGCAAGGTGTGGTGGCGCACGCCTGTAATACTGGGTATTCGGGAGGCCAAGGCAGGAGAATTGCTTGAACCCAGAAGGCGGAGGTTGCAGTGAGCCAAGATCGTGCCACAGCACTCCAGCCTGGGTGACAGAGTGAGATTCAGTCTGAAAAATAATAATAAACAGACAGACCATGCAGTTTTTTGAGACAGGGTCCCACTGTGTTGCCCAGGCTGGAGTGCAGTGGCCAGTCACAGTTCACTGCAGCCTCAACTTCCCAGGCTCAAGTGATCCTCCTACTTCAGCTCCATGACTACATGTGTGTGCCACCGTGCCCAGCTAATTGTTTGGAATTTTAGTAGAGACGAGGTCTCTGAGGTCTCCCTATGTTGCCCAGGCTGGTCTTGAACTCCTGAGTTCAAGCAATCCTGCACCTCGGCCTCCCAATGTGGTGGGTCACTAGTGTGAGCCACCATGCCTGGCCTAGACCATGCACTATGAATGGTCAGTGAGGTAAATTAGTACCCAGGGAAATGCCTGTCAACCAGTCTTTACTATTTAAAAACAGCAGCAGCTGTCAAAGCTAATGGCAGAGTAGTGTCTTAGCAGAAACTTAACAGTTTTTCCTCATTGACAGGGGCTAGAAAGTGCACTACATCCTTAGCCAGCATTTTTATTATCTCTGCAATCAAGCATTTTTCTCTGGGAATACATTAATAAGACTGGACCACAATAAAGACATGTATCTGTCCTCAGCACTGTTTAATGTGCCATCTCCCTTCCTCCAGGGAGCAGCCCTGCCAGGCCAGGTGCCGCCCTCAGAGCAGCAGAGGCCTGCCCTGCCCTTGGACCCCAGCCCCGCCGTGGGCGCCCCCCACAGTCCCTTCTGGGCCTCAGCTTTGTTGTCCTCTGCCTGAGACGGGGTTGGGGTGGGGGGTTCCTCCTCAGTGTGAGCTGGGGTGTGGGGACTGCACGCTTGGTGGCTGAGCCCCTGAATATCCAGAGAAGCTCGGCGGCCTCACCTTCTCCAGTCGAATTCTCTCTCCACACGCAAGGTCTAGTTCATTTCCAATTAAGATCAGGTCTTCAGAGGTCACCTTCCATTGGCGGCTGGCGAAGTGCACCACGGCGAAGAGCCGGCCATACTGCCCCGTGGCAATCAGCTCATTCACCCTCCTCACGACCTCTGCAGGGGAAGGTGGGGGCAGCCAGTCACCCTCACCTGCTCCCCCACACACTGCAGTGTGATGTGCAGCTCCTGGTGGCAGGACCCCAGGGTGGACGTGACAGCCAGCACCCCTCCTGAGCACCTCACTGCTGGCGGCCCAGCCCCTGCCCCACCCCCTGCAGGCACAAGTGCAGGCACAGGGCCAATCTGCTGCTTCAGGAGCACGGGCACCGTGGCATATGGCGGCTTTCACAGACGGAAGCTCCCCAAGACTGCGGAGAACGCCCAGACCACCTCCTGTGACGCCCTCGCCTAAGCACTCGGCATGCCTGGCTAGGTTTCTACAACTCTAGGGTGGGCGAAACCCTCCACTTGGTTCATTCTCATGAGAATGAGGAGCCAGCAGACCAGGAGTGTGCAAATCCTGAGAAGCCAAAGGAGAGGCCTTTGCAATGAGGAACCCCCCGCGCATCCCATCCCCATATCCCACCCCCAGGGCAGGACGTGTTCCCTCTGCACGCCTGCGCCCACAGGGGCTCTGTACTCAGTTCCTGGTATTGCTGCTCGGACTCAGGTCACAGTCCCCTCTCTCCTGCACTGTTTACTCTGAACAAGCATTTAATGGGCACTGACCCCCTGGCCTGAGCGAGGGCGAGACACACAGAAGGGATGACAGAGTGCCTGCCCCGGAAACACTGTCAACACCAGAAGCACCAGCACCGAGGGCGAAACTCGGTGGACTTGTTTCACTCGCGCGGTATCTGAAACAGTATTTAACATATAAGAAGATTCCACTCGAGGATCTTGATTTCCAGCATTTTGGCAAGTGAAGATCATGGCACTAGTGGCTAATGATCCCATCCCTTCTGACACGGGCTCCAGGTTGACATGAGTCCTAACACCCCTGCATGTTTCTCCAACAGCCCGGGGGGCACCGGCTTCCAGTAATCGTGCTTAACCGTGCTAACTGGGGAGAGCTGTCTCTGCGCCCACCAACAGTGGGAGACAAGATGGAGCTGGGGCCCTGCCCTCACTTATGCCACCTGCCTGCCGTGTGGCAGGTGTTCAGGGAGCAGTTAATGAAAAACATCTGAAATTCGGGTGTTAACTGGTGAAAATGGGCATGAGTGCGGGCACTGTGCAGTGTGTGGGAGCACCCGGAAATACGAAGCCCTCGCTCGCTCTGCGGCCCGGGACCGCCTCTGTGGGCGACTGCAGCAGGATCTGAGTGGTGCCCTCTGGCTCTGTCTCCTAGGGAAGTCTTACCTGCATGGTGTTTGGTCTCCTCAACGGGGTCTGGCAGAACAACTTCCGGCCAAGGTGGTGAACTCAGGGATGTTCTAGGAACATATCTGTAAAACACATGTCGCAGACAAATGTCACATGCACTTGAAAAGGCAGCTCAAATCCTCTAAGAAATGGCCATGCACAAATGTTAGGAAGGGACCCCGGGCAACAAAAAGGCTCCTTCTTTAGGATGGGCCTCGCCCCTCTGGGGTAACCCCGAGGACAGGCTCCCTGTATCCTCTTTGAGCCACAGGGAACAATGGCTCATCATTCAATAATCAAAGCAGGAACTCTCAGCGTTCTGCAAAAGAGCCCCTGCTTGGGTACTTCTCACTGCTGGAAGGGTGTCCATCCAAGAAGGCTGGGCTTGTGGTGTCTTGGGGCACATTTATCTTGGAGGCACAGGTTGAAATGCCCAGCCCTCCCCTTTCCCCACAACGCGGGACACAGGGCCAGCAGCTCTCCCACCTCCCTCGGCATCTAGTAGCCCTGGAATGGCAGCTCCAATGACCCTTCACCACATCCTGCTCAAACAGGACCACAACGTTCCCTGCTCCACCTCCACCTCCTCCTCCCCCCAGGTAGGTGCCCGCTCTTTCTTCACGCCCAGGTGAGTGCCAAGCAGCACTGGCTCGGAACCCCAGACAATTCCGTGTCCTGCTGTCTGCAACTGAGCAAATGGGAAAACAATCACCCGCCTGAAAGGGCTGTTAGGATTAGAGGGCTACGGTTCACAGCCGGCCCCAGCACGGACAGTGAGGGTCGGGTGTTAGGAGCGCTCAGTCCCAGCAGCATAGCACTGCGGTCCCCAACCACCTCCCCTCCCAACCCTCAGGATGCCAAGCTTGCTGCAGGCAGTGCCTTTTTTTTTTTTGAGATGTAGTCTCACTCTGTCACCCAGGCTAGAATGCAGTGGTGTGTTCTCAGCTCACTGCAACCTCCGCCTCCAGGGTTCCAGCGATCCTCCTGCCTTAGTCTCCTGAGTAGCTGGGATTACAGGCACATGCCACCACGCCTGGCTAATTTTTGTATTTTCAGTAGAGATGGGGTTTTGCCACATTGGCCAGGCTGGTCTCGAACTCCTGGCCTCAAGTGATCTGCCCATCTCGGCCTCCCAAAGTTCTGGGATTACAGGCATGAGCCACCGTGCCCAGCCCAACATCTTATTTCCTAACTCTCCCCTGCCTGCTCAGCCTCAGGTAGGTGAAGGGGAGAAGACGGGAGGAAAGAAAGGGGGGACCTAGATTCAAAAGGAGGTGGGGGTCTTTCTTTCTGCAGTCTACAAAGAGGGAGGGTAGGTAGATCCCAAGCCAAATTATTCAGAACTGTTTTTAAGCTTTTATTGCTGCTGCCATTGCAAAGTAAAAGTTCAGTCTTTCTACTCCAGGGTTGCATCAGGAGGAAGAAAACGACTTGCTCTATACGCAAAATGCACTGGCCTCCACATCGAGGACCAGGTCCACCCGTCCTGTTGGCCGGCGCGCAGGACGGCTCCACACGAATCTGGGAGAGGAATGAATATTTTCCCAGTGGGGCAGGGCTCGGAGCTCCTAGAAACGTGAACTCCGTGGTCTGTGGTTGGTCAATGACCTTGAGAGTCAAGGAGGACATGGAAGGTGCTGCTATCTACAAAATGTCTTTGACCTGTTTGATGTCTGGTCTCCCCACATGGGTCCAGCAGTGCCCAGTGTGAGAAGAACATGCTGGCCGGAAGGTGCTAACCTCTCACACAGGACAGAGGGGAGTAAGCACAACCTACCTACCCACATGCTCACTTACAACTTCTTCCTATGCTCAGAATGTTTCTCCACTTCCTTCGAGAAGCAAAAAAGGCTCCCGCATCTCCCCACTGCAGAGGATCCCTGGAGTCCCAGCAGCAGTAACAGCAGCCAACATTTTGTGAGTGCTGACTGTATGCCAGGCACTGTTCTAAGCGCTTTAAATGTATACATTTACTTAATCCTCTCCAACACCCATGCAGATCGAAACGAACACTACTTCCATCTTGCAGAAGCTGGCGCCCCAGGCTGTGAGAAGCAGCCGGAACTGCATGCCGGAGGGTCCCTAGAGTAACTGCTATCCCTGCACTGCTCCGCTGTCTCCCACCAGTGAGGGGGACTTTGCCAAATGTTTCCTGCAGTTTGTAATACCTTAAAAATGTTTTCTCAAGTCTAAAATGTTAACACTGAATGTGCTTTTTCAAATAATGAGTTTCTCTTAGAGACTCTGATACAACCTTCCTCATCATAACTCATTGAGTTAGGACTTCAAGCTCCTCCATAATAAAAGAAAGAAAACACATACGGAATTTCTCTTTGGTCTCTTGCAGTTACATCGTTATTTTAAGGATCTGAGAAAAATACCGTCAAAAAGTTAAAGCTGAAAGTGGTGGTGCATGCCTGTAATGCCAGCTACTCAGGAGGCCAAGGCGGGAGGATCGCTTTAGGCCAGGAGTTCAAAACCAGTTTGGGAAACACAGTGAAATTCTGTCTCTTAAAAACAAAAGAGGAAATGTAAATATTATTGAGAACCAAAAGGTAGGACGTTTTGACTTCAGAAAGATGGTTCTACAAATGAAAGGAAAAGCGGCACCAAAACCCACATTTTGATATTACCCTGGTGGAAATGAAGTGCTCTGTGAATTGAACCTTCGAGAAGCAGACCAAAGGGAGGCTGAGGGAAGAAGAGAAACACAGATCATTACTATTAATACTACAAATGCAAATTGCCCTTTACGATGCTAAGTGCACGACTGCTGCTCCTGGTATGTGGTATAAACCACTGCATGACAGCCTGCCCATAGAAACACCTAGGTGAGCAAAAGTACAAGAACATCACTTACAGCTACTGGTTATATGTGTTGAGATCAGTTTGCCACACCGTCTACAAGTGCCTCAGACCAGAACCTCCCGTCCACTAACTCATGCCTTGACTAACTGCCCCGTAGGTTCAGACCCTGTTCTGTGTCCAAGTGTGGGAGCAGCCTCCAAGATGGCGCTGCTGAGCCCTGCCTCCTGCTATTCTTACCCCATCGGCCCACTGGGAGTGCTGTGTGTCCGACAGCTTGTGACAGACGTGCTAGCACGTGGGTTCTGGGATTAGGTGATAACCAACCAAGACTTCCATCTTGGATGCCCGCACTCACCCTCTCTGATCACTGGCCTTAGGGCTGCCCTGCTGTAAGCAGCCCTACCTAGAGGTCCACGTGGCGGGGAACTGGGCCTGTCGCCAACACCCACAGAAACGACCTTGCAGGTGGATTCTCCAGCCGCTGGCGCAGCAGAGTCTTGAGATAACTACAGCCCCTGCAGACTTGCTTGCTGCAAGCTAAGACACCGAGCCAGAACCAGCCACCTAAGCGGCTCCTGTGTTCTCGACTCTCAGAACTGGTGTGAGTTAATAAATGTTTTAAGCTGCTAAGTTGTGGGGTCATTTCTGATGTAAACGTAGATAACGAATATCAGGAACACACCAGGGAACAAAGACATTCAGTCTACTGAGAAGACAGGGGCTCAAAATAAGTGCTTAGGCGTAAAAAGCAGAGAACAGTTTCTCAATAATCACTTTTAACTCAGCTATAATTTACACACCATAAAAACCACCCTTTTAAAGTTCGCCCATTAGCACTGGCTCCCCATTTGTGTTTCCTCGGCTGCTTTCTCCTCTCCTCTCCCATTTGGGCTCCTGGGGCTCAACCCTTGGCCTTGACTTCTTTTCCACCTGTGGCCATTCCTCTGGTGACTGCATCCAGTCCTGTGGATTTAAACGCCCCCAATGTGCTGGCGACTCCTAAGTTTACACCTCCAGCCAAGGCGTCTCTCCTGGATTTGCATGCCCACCTGTCTATCTGCCTTAGCCACTCATGTCTGACGTGCACCTCGCACCTCCAGAGGCTCCTCATTTCTTCCCATGCCTGCTTCTCCCACACTCCTCCCTCTCTCATGAGGGCAACTTCATCCTCCCAGTTGTTCAGGCCCCAAACCTCTATCAATTTTGACCCTTCTCTTGCACACTACTCAGCCAACCCATTCAGCAAATCCATCTCACTATTAAAGACTTAGTAGGCTTCTGTACCTAACTTGCTTCTAGCTTTGTCTTTGGGTCCACAGGGAGCAAACACTCTCCCACAGGATTTCCTTTAGATCGTCCTGGAGACTGTGACTGTGTACTTCCATCCTGTCTCCTTTGCTCACTCTTCAAGGCCTCAGCTGCTCACTGTTTTGGTCATCTTTTCTCTATTCACTTCACTGTGTGTCTTTCTCTCTTAACGCGTAAGTCTATACTTGAACATAGCATTGGAGGGGTGGTTTCATGTAGGTAGGCAGAATGGAGTAAGACCCATTGCTTTTGTAAAAACTTTCCTGCCTACTTAAACCTAAGTTTTATTATGGAAAATGTCAAGCATACAAAAGTAAGGAGAACAGAATAGTGAACTCTCTCTCAATTATCCCTTTCCAGGTTCAAGTTACCAACTTACGGCCAATTTTGGCATCTACATTGCCTCGGGCCCAACTCTGATTATTATTACTTTCTTAACAGACTTTATTTTTTAGTCAGTTTTAGTTTCACACCAAAATTGAGTGGAAGGTACAGAGAGTTCCCATATGTCCCCTGTCCATGTGCCCATAGCTTCCTATCGACATCTCTCCCCAGAGTGGTACAATCCTTACAACTGATGAACCTACATTGACACATCATTGTTATCCAAAGTCCATAGTTAACATTAGGGTTCGCCCTTGGTGGTGTACGTTCTATGGATTTGGACAAACTTATAATGACATGTATCTACCATTATATCATACAGAATAGTTTCACCGCCCTAAAAATCCTCTGAGCTCCACCTATTCATCCTTTTATCCCCCAATCCCCTTACCCCCCATCTATCTTTTAACTGTCTCCTTAGATTTGCCTTTTCCAGAATGTCAAAGGCTACAAGATATAGCCTTTTCACATTGGCTTCTTTCACTTAGTGACATGTATGTAAGTTTCCTCCATCTCTCTTCATGACTCATTTCTTTTTAGTGCTGAATAATATTCCACTGTATGCATGTGCTACAGTTTACGTAACCATTCATCTCCTGAAGGACATCTGGGTTGCTTCCAAGTTTTGGGAATTATGGAACAATTCTTTTAATATCGTCCAGTATAGAGTTAGATCCAGTTTTTCATTTTTGGGATCATGGTGAGACTTGAGACCCAGGTTTAAAACATACATAAACACTCGTGCACACAAATACACACTCCAACCATTTTCAGGCAGAGATTTATAGAGTTTTTGACGAATATAACCCTTTTGGAGCCTTGTATCAGACCAGTGCCTTAAATACGGCTGTTTCTTTTGCTGAATGAGTTCAGATTAGGCGAGGATATCCCTCATCATTTTTCAGACCGGCTCGCAGCCTGGGGGCAGTGGTTCAAGCACAGGCTTTGGAGCCGAAATGACTGTGCCTCAAGCACTCTTCCTCCGCTTCCCCGCTGTGTGACCCTGGGCATGTTACCTAGCTCCTCTGAGCCTCACTCTGCTCCCCCATAACATAGGAGCTATACCAGAGTTCAAGGGCTATTATCAGTATTCAGGCTACTAACTGAAGGAATCAGAATCTGAACCTGGGTTTCCCCTAAGGGAAGAGACCACTCCTCATACTGTCTTCTGCCCAATTTCTGCCTCCAAAGAAAGAAGTAGTAAAAACTAAAAGGCAGAAATGAAATCCAAGGGCAGACAGCCCGGCGCCGCACCCTGGGCCTGGTAGTTAAAGATCGACCCCTGCCCTAATTGGTTCTGTTATCTATAGATTACAGACATTGTACAGAAATGTACTGTGAAAATCCCTATCTTGTTTTGTTTCCATCTAATTACCGGTGCATGCAGCCCCCAGTCACGTACCCCCTGCTTGCTCAATCAATCACGACCCCCTCACCTGCACCCCCTTAGAGTTGTTAGCCCTTAAAAGGGACAGGAATTGCTCACTCGGAGAGCTCGGCTCTTGAGACAGAAGTCTTGCCGATGCCCCCGGCCGAATAAACCCCTTCCTTCTTTATTTCGGTGTCTGAGGAGTTTTGTCTGCGGCTCGTCCTGCTACACCCCGACTCCAAAACCCGTGCTATATTCACCACAAATGCGATCAACACACAAGGCACCAGGTCGGACCCAGGCACATACGTGGCGAGACCGCAGGGAGCAGCGCTCGCTCTGCGTCCTCCCTTCCCCCCATATCCCGGATCTCACCTGCTCCGGGCCCCGAAGGTCTCAGGATGCTGCGGCTGCACGCGGACACCAGCCGCCCTAAGGTGACCGTCAAGGGGGATGCTGCCATGGCGGCCGCCATCTTCCCGCAGCCTCGGCCGGAAACGGAAACGACGCGAAGCGCGTGCGTAACTCACGGGCCCGTCCGGGAACACAGGTCGTGCTGTAACACCTGCCGCGCTGTAACACCGGCCCGGCGCGGAAGCTGGACGTCGGCGACTCGGGGCCCAGACTGGCGGCGGCGATGGCCTCGGCGGCTGTGGAGAGCTTCGTGACCAAGCAGCTGGACCTGCTGGAGCTCGAGAGAGACGCAGAGGTGGAGGAGCGCAGGTACGGGCGGCCGCCGGCACCGCTCCCTCGCGGTTGGTCCCGCCGTGCCCCGGGCAGGGTCTCCGAGGGGCTCGGCCTCACAGTCTAGGGCGGGAATTTCGTCTCCGACCCCTGGAGTCCAGGTCAAGGACCGTCCGTCCCCTGCTTGGCCACCTCCCGAGTTGTCAGTCTCATCACCTCCCGGGCAGCGCGTTCCGTTTTGGGCCTAAGGAGAAGCACTTTCATTTCTCGACCCGAGACCCCCCTAAGCTAACACTCCTGGGCCCTGGCCCCGACCCCAGTTCCACCCGCAGCGGGTTAGCAGCCCTTTCCCTTATTCATTCAGTAAACATGGTTTGCGCCCCTTCTGGGCCAGGCCCCAGCAGCGTGAGTCAGGTGCACTGGCTGCCGGCGATCCGGCCAACGGCGGGCTGGGCATGAGCAGAGTCCCTTCCCCTCCAGCGCGTCCAGGGCCGGCTGCGTGCGTGTGGCGGGGAAAGAGCCTGGAGGAGGAACGCTCTTCCCTGGGGAGGGTCAAGGTGGATTCAGGAGGAAGTGGTGCCTGAAGGAAAATTGGAGTTCAGCCGGTGGATGCGGGGTGGGGTGGGGAGCCAAGTGAGAGCCGGGCTTGTTTCCGAATGGGACTATTTATTTGTCCAAAACAATCAGAGCTAACATTTATATACTTTCCGTGCGTTAATTCCTTTACACCTCATCCCATGCCAACCCTACAATGTAGGTTTTTTTATTTTTTAGACAGTCTCGCTCTGTCGCCCAGGCTGGAGTGCAGTGGCACAATCTCAGCTCACTGCAGCCTCCACCTCCCGGGTTCAAGCGATTCTCCTGCCCCAGCCTCCTGAGTAGCTGGGATTACAGGCACGCACCACCACGGCCTGCTAATTTTTTTGTATTTTTTAGTAGAGACAGGTTTCACCATGTTGGCCAGGATGGTCTTGATCTCCTGACCTCGTGGTCTGCCCGCCTTGGCCTCCCAAAGTGTTGGGATTACGGACGCTAGCCACCGCGCCTGGCCACAGTTTAGGTTTCTATTACTATCATTTTCCATCTAAGGAGATGGAGACAGAGAGGGGTTAAGTAACTTGCCCCAGGGTGACACACTATAGCCCGATTTGCTGTCAGGCAGTCTGCTTCCAGAGTTTGCAGTCAGCCATCCGTCTGTAGGATTTGTCTGAGATGCTTTTGATCATGACAATAGAGAACTTTTGCAGTTATGTTGACTTTATTAGAATCCCAGCTGCTTCATTTATGGCTGTGTGACTTTGCGGGTTCTTTCTCTGAGCCTTACTTCAACTGTAAAACTGGGATGATTCCCGCCTCACAGCCTTGCTCTGGGAATGAAACGATCCCCTGTCAGTCAGGTGCTCAGCACGGTGTCAAGGGCAGAGTCAGCCCCCATGGCTGTGGCTCTTTCTGAGCATGCCGAGCAGACTGGCAGGGCAAGCCTGGGAAGGGCCTGGCTAAGGAGCTAGCCTTCTGTTGTGTGTGGAGGATGGGCCATCAGTGGGGTTAAGCAGGCGAGGGAGGCGAATAGATTTGCATTTTAGGAGGATCTCTTGGGTCTCCTGCTTTTGATTGGACCCGGAGAGGCCAGAGGTAAGGTAGTTGAGAGGTTCCGTTTAGTCCAGGTGAGCAGTGATATGAATTTGAACCGGGGCTGTGATGGCCAGGATGAGAGGCAGAGAAGTCCAGGTGGAAATGGGAGGGGCCTGATAGGACTTAGTGACAGATGGGAGTGGAGAGGGGAATGCTGGTTGAAGGTTCTGTCTCAGGTACCTGGGAGAAGGGTTGCAGCATTAACTACCCTAGGGGGATATAGGAGGAACAGGATTGGGAGTGGGGCAGATTCAGAGTTCCATTGGGATATATTTAGTGCCCGTGAGTAGATCTTTTTCTATGTTTCTTTCCCTTTTACTTTTTCGGGTGGGTGGAAGTAGAAATTGGTGAAAATCCTGAAACATCAATACCGGGTATCTTCCAGGTCCTGGCAGGAGAACATCTCTCTGAAAGAGCTCCAGAGCCGAGGCGTGTGTTTACTGAAGCTCCAGGTATCCGGCCAGCGCACTGGGCTGTATGGACGGCTGCTGGTCACCTTTGAGCCCAGGCGATGCGGGTCTGTGGCAGCTCTTCCCAGTAACAGCTTTACTTCTGGTGTGTGCGTATTGACCTAGACAGACGTTGAAATTTACTGGCATTCAGACCACGCATTGTACCCTCATAAAGACTGGATTACAATGACCAGTTGGAGAATAAAGCATTGCAATGAAGAGCTCTTAATCAGAAGTCCAACAATTGATGTGGGTTTTAGTTGTCTAGATCAGCATTGTCCAAAACGGTAGCCATTAGCCATACGTGGTCACCAAATGTTTGAAGTGTGGCTCGTGATTGCTGTAGATACAGAATACACACCAGATGTGGAAGATTATGTTAAAAAACAATTGGGATTATCCTGAGTAATTTTTCTGAATACTGATTATATGCTGAAATCATAGTTTTCATATATTGGGTTAAATAAAATATATTGTTATTAAAATAATTTACCCATTTCTGTCTTTTTTTTTTTCTTTTGAGACAGAGTTTCGCTCTTGTTGCCCAGTCTGGAGTGCAGTGGCGTGATCTCAGCTCACTGCAACCACCACCTCCCAGGTTCAAGTGATTCTTCTGCCTCAGCCTCCCGAGCAGCTGGGATTAGAGGCATGCGCCACCTCACCTGGCTACTTTTGTATTTTTAGTAGAGGCGGCGTTTCTCCATGTTGGGTCAGGCTACTCTCGAACTCCCAACCTCAGGTGATCCGCTTGCCTTGGCCTCCCAAAGTGCTGGGATTACAGGCGTGAGCCACTGCACCCAGCCTCTTTAAAACTTTTTAATATAGCTACTAGAAAAGTTAAAACTACACGTGACTGGGTGCCTGTAATCCTAGCACTTTGGGAGGCCGAGGTGGGTGGATCGCTTGATCTCAGGAGTTCAAGACCAGTCTGGGCAACATAACAAAACCCCATCTCTGCAAAAAATAGAAAAATTAGCCGGACGTGGTGGTGTGCGCGTATAGTCCCTGCTACTTGACGGGCTGAGGCAGGAGGATCGCTTGAACCTGGGAGGTTGAGGCTACAGTGAGCTGAGATTACGCCACTGCACTCTAGCTTGGAGGCAAAGTGAGACCCTGTCTCAAAACAGAACAAAACAAAAAACAAAAACAAGAAAAAACTACATGTGACTCTCGTTATATTTCTATGTAATGGGCAGCCTTGGTCCAGCTGGTAAACATGCAGTATGTGTACTTCTGTATTCCCAGCCCTTTCTTGTGCCAAGCATGCTTTGGCTAAACTTGCGCCAGCCTGGTTGGAAAGGAGGGGCAGTTCGAAGAAACTTCTTAACCACACCCCTGGGACGCTTGTGTTAGACAACCACAACCCTGGAAGCCTGGAGGAAGCGGTGCCAGGGCTGTACTTTTTACTGTGAAAGTGTCTCTGCCTTGTTTTGGTGGTGACAGAGGTTTAAATTTCGTATTTTGATTCCATAGACTTTTGCCCAACAATTACTGGAATACTGACTGAATTTGGAGATGAGATGAGGGTATTGAGAGAGGAGAGGGCCAGGAGGGGAACCTGCAGGTTGGAGTCGGACCTGAGCAGAGTTTGAGATTTTTTTTTTTTTTTTGAGACAGAGTCTCTCTCTGTCGCCCGGGCCGGAGTGCAGTTGTGCAGTCTTGGCTCACTGCAACCTCCACCTCCTGGATGCAAGTGATTCTGCTGCATCAGCCACCTGAGTAGCTGAGACTACAGGCGCCTGCCACCACTCCTGGCTACTTTTTGTATTTTTTTAGTAGAGACAGGGTTTCACCATATTGGCCAGGCTGGTCTGGAACTCCTGACCTTGTGATCTGCCCGCCTCGGCCTCCCAAAGTGCTGGGATTACAGGCGTGAGCCGCTGCGCCCGGCTGAGTTTGAGATCTTTTTTTTTTTTTTTTTTTGAGACGGAGTCTGGCTCTGTCGCCCAGGCTGGAGTGCAGTGGCCGGATCTCAGCTCACTGCAAGCTCCGCCTCCTGGGTTTACGCCATTCTCCTGCCTCAGCCTCCCGAGTAGCTGGGACTACAGGCGCCGCCACCACGCCCGGCTAGTTTTTTGTATTTTTTTAGTAGAGACGGGGTTTCACCATGTTAGCCAGGATGGTCTCAATCTCCTGACCTCGTGATCCGCCCGTCTCGGCCTCCCAAAGTGCTGGGATTACAGGCTTGAGCCACCGCGCCCGGCCGAGTTTGAGATCTTACGCTTACTTGTTGTGTGACCTAGAGTTAGTTATTCACCTTCCAAAGACTGGGAACAGCAGTACCTTGTAGCTTTGCCATCAGGATCGAAGGTGTGTGCAGGTGGTTTGAAAACTCTGAAATGCAAAGGTAAAAATGTGTATTTATTCAATAAGTGTGGAGTGCATGACCTGAGAGGTTAATAATAGTTCATAAACAGTAAGTCAGAAGAAGCAGAGTTTATATAGAAAAGTAGCAAGCTGAAATTTTGGTTGTTGATAAAGCTGTTGATCAGATTCAGGTAGAGTGGTTATCTGTTCCTTTTCTGAGGAGCAGTCTTAAGTCTCAGTAGCTCAGAAATAGACATCCAGAAATGTGGGGTTCTATATAAGGCGGCTTGTGGAAAATTTGCAGTAGGGCTGGGATCCTCTGTCTAGGCCCGTAGCGGCCCCTGTGCACAGAGCCTCTGTCCCGCGAGCTTGTTGCCACCTACTCTTTGTAAAGTTAGGAAAGGAAACATGATTCAAAGTACAGATGAAACTCAGTCTCTAGATTTCAGACATGGGGAATACATGGAG